GATTTTTGCATTCAGAAAAGCTCCCACAAATTTTGGGTGCTGAAAACTCTGATCGACTGTACCGTAGCGATGGCGTTTGTGGTCTCTGAACACTATGGCCGGTCTCACCAGCTGTTCCTCAACGCCTCTACTTTGGCTATCCTCAACTTCATGAAAGGAATTTGACGTCCGAAAATCTCCGATACCGTGCAACCTCCCCCCCTCTTGACGGTCGATATTCTACCACCGCCGGCAGTTTTTTCTCCTGAGCCCTCCAAACCATAAAAACCACCATCAACTGTATTTTTATCCCTTTCGCTCAGGAGTTTTTTTCACTGCTGGTCGGATTTATGTTTAATCGCTTCCCTTGACAATGACTGTAAACTGGCATTAAATAAATTTATTTATTTATTTATTGGCACTGGCGCTGACGCTGGGCATACTTCAGTCATCTTAGAGCTTCTGAACGTCCCATTTCCACATGGTGCCCAAGGAGACATCTGGTGACTGGTAACCCTGTAGTTACTGCCGTGCATTCAACGACGCCATTGTTCTCGGCCGGTTCCTAGTCACAAATCATCAGTACCTCGCCAGAGTGCTTTTACTGAAGCCGTTTTATCGAAGATCGACCTGGTACGTGCCTTCCACCAAATACCTGCCGACCCTGAGGATAGTCCCAAAACTGCTCGCATACCTCTGGGCATTCGAAACGTCGCGAGGATGTGCATGGGATTCGTCGACCATGTTTATCGTGGTTTGCCGTTTTTGTAAGACTATATCGACGACATCTGGTGGCTAGCCAAAGTATGACTAGTTTTGGCGATTGACTGCCGCAACAAGTACGGCATTACCATCAACACCACCCTCATTATTGTCGGCATCACCATCCTCACCATCCTGATCATCGCCATCATCAATCAAAGTGCGTATTCGCTGCGTCAGCTCCCGAACTTTCCGCTTTAATGCTGATTCCCGAGGCTTGCTTCCCCTTCTCCCCGAGGTGACAACGGTTTTCGATTTTTATTCATCTACATCCAAACATCAGTTGTGAGGTTCCATTTACATAGTAAACTTTTACTGTTCCTTCCTACCGAACTGTGTTGACCTTGCACTGCCGCTCAACAACTGAACTTCCCGTCTGAGACGTCCCCTTACACTCTCTGATGAGCTTGTAACTGCTTCGGAAGGAGTCAAGTCTTCTCATACTGATGCATTCTTCTCCAAACGCTCCTCTTCCTCTCTCTGATGGCAGACACTTCGACAGCAGCTGGTGGTTTAGTTCTTCGACAACATCACGCTGGTTCGACCCTGTCAAATTCACCAAAAAATGACACGAACCAAAACACTCTACAGCACCTTTGGACATAGACCGTTCGCCGTATATTTGACCATGACACATTAAGGTTATGTACTTATGAGTCATGACTTCATTATTTCTGTGGAACACAAGCCATTGATGTCTGCCCTTCGATTCCACTCGGACAAGGGAACTCAAAGGCAGGTTGACTTCCTAGACTACATCTCACAATTAGTCATCAGCTTCCGCCACCTCGACGGATGATGTGCGGCCCGGACCCTCGCCTCTGTGCTGCAACTTTCACACGGAGTTGACCTTACTGCCATAGCCGCTAAGCAACGACGAGGTGGTTGGCCTAGCAATGAGTCTGTTAGCTGGCCCCAATTCATGGACGTTCCCCTAACAACCGATGCTGACAGTGTTTTGAGACGTCTCAGTTCCTTCTCATCGTCCTCTTCGTGCCCGCTTTGATGTATTGCCATACCACGAGTGTCAGTGGTTCATGAATCTTGGACACAATTCCGTCATTATGGAGCAACCCATTACCGCACTTGTCGCCACCAATATTCATGCTGTCCATCGTACCGTACAAGCCCCGGGACTCGACGTCCAGAAGACCACTAATGGAATTCTGGCAGTGTAGTGATTGTCATTTCGTTGGCTCCTGTTCGTTCATAAAGCGCGTTTGTCAGAACTCTACAAGCGAAAACCAAAAAAGATTTCTTTCCAGCAGCGCAACACTCCGAATCATGGGTACGCAAAATGGGAACGAGGAGACCCAAAGGCCCTTCAATCCATTTCTAGTTCAAAATATCCCGCCATTCTGGCCACGTCCAAAACAGGGCTTGCAACACGGAATAAGCACCTTGCAATTATCAATAGTACGCCAATATGGCTCCAGGTAGATACGATCGCGGACCTCGCCTGCACCCGAGCGTACTTGGCACATCATTAAATGGCCTCCGATAATCGCATCGGGCAGAGGGGCACTGAATATTTCAGGAGGAATTCTGCCGCTTGTGAGTGAGCTTAAATGTGAAATTTTCTTTGGTGGCATCCCAGTCTAATGAACGTGATGCCTCGTCAACTGTCGGAACCTAAATCTATTTGGTGTCGATTGGATCGAGAAACTCAGTGTTCTGGGCATGCCTCTTGACCGTGTTTGCAGTAGTGTGCAATCATCTTTGTGGAATCCTGTCATATGAGGAATGAAGAACAAGCGTAGCTACTGTTAAGCAGGAAATTCGCACTCCAAAACGTCCACCCAACAGTTTTTTTTTCAGCGGAACTTTTATCAGCGGAGAGAGAGGAACTGGGAGTGTTTAGAGCGGAAGTCCTGGGGTGGTCGCACTTCCCGCCATCTGTCGTGGTAAGAGAGCTACAAAGTCTTGAAGGGGCAAAGTCATGGGGTCTGCACACTATATCGGCCAAATTCCTGAAAGAGTTGGCGAAGAAACTCTCCAAACCGTTAGCGTACATCATCCATTCGTCATTCGAACTAAGGAAGCTGCCATCCGAATGGAGGATAGCAAATATCTTTCCAGTGTTTAAGAATGGAACTCGCATAAGCGTTAACAATTATTGACCGTTGGTTTGACCTGCATCTGCCGTAATATGATGGAAATCATGCTTAAGAAAGAACAAATGAAGTTCCCGGAGGGAACAACTTGCTAACAGGGCTGCAGCATGGTTTCAGACAAAGCCGCTCATGCCCTTCCAGTTTATTGCTCTCGACTGAGCAGTGGACCCACGCACAGCACAAGGATGGTAGGGTCGATGCCGTCTACACGGACTTCAAGAAGGCGTTCGACAGTGTACCGCACAAGCGCCTAATCTACAAACTGTCTAAAATTGGAATAAAAGGAAAGCTGCTACCGTGGATCGCAGACTTCTTTACAGGGAGATCTCAAACCATGTGTGTTAATGTTTCAAAGTCACCCCCAACTCCTGTTCTAAGTGGTGTTCCCCAGGGCTCAGTCTTAGGGTTATTAACATTCCTAGCTTACTTGAATGACTGTGTCGGCAACCTTGGATGCAACGCTGTCATGTTTGCTGGCAATGTAAAACTTTGGTGTGCTGTCAGATTTGGCACAGACAGATGCGCACTTTAGGAGAGTCTCGACCGATTTAGCAGTTGGTTAGCTCGCTGACTCCTAAATTTTAATTCGAGAAAATGTGTGGTCCTGAGACTCCGCAGCAGAGGGACCAGTGAAAAGGATGATTCCTTCCCACGTCCCCTTAATGCGTAGCTCCTTTCAAACGTTGAGGAACAGAAGGACCTCGGCATCCTAATAACCTCTATCCTTAAACGTCCGATACGTTCGTTCGGCCTCATTTTGAGTATGCCGTCAAGGCCTGACGACCGTGGTTCAAGAAGGATCATCAATAGTTGGAAAGAATATAGGCGAGGGTTGCGAAGATGGTCAATATTCTTGATCATCCGCCTTACAAAACTAGACTTTCTGAGCTAAATTTGTTTTCTCTCAATTGCAGGCAACCGCGCCGCGACGTCATCCAAACCTACCGCATTGTCAGAGGCCGTGAGTGTGCCCCAGACTTTGAAGACATCTTCGAATTGACTGGGACAGACCGTCTGTGTGGTTATCCTTTTAAAGTACAGAGGAAGTTGGTCCATACAGTCGTCAGACAGAACGCCTTCTCTCAGAGGGGCATTGGACCATGGAACTGACTCCCTGATGTGGTGGTTCCTCCGGAGACTGATGAGTCTTTTGAGTGCAGACAAGACGATCGTTTGCTGAGAAATTATTGTGCACATAATTACGATTGTGTCGGTGGCGGCCGTTTGCGCGTGGTCCACACATACCAATAACTTTAAATTTCCAGAATGACAGATGCAACTATTGATGCTGTTTTGGAATATGATTAGGGAGCTCAAGGAAGAAAGTCTCATTATCTAAATAATCTTAAACTGGTTGGCGTTTCCTTATAGTCTGAATCTGATGAATCAACTGGCCAATCCCCCAGAAATCCTTCTGACTCTGGATGACAGCTTTACCGAGGTGGCGCGATGCCGTTAACTACGAGCCGTCATCCGCTCCGCCGCCCTGGGCGCCTTTGGTCGAAATCTCCGTCAGCATTCTCTTTGGTCTGTCGACAACGACGTAGAAATCCGCAACATGCTGCCAGAAGAGAACAGGCTGCATAAAGTCCACGTCAACCGCGGTACTGACGCAAACAGACTGGCCTTCCTTAAAAATTTGAAGCATTTTGTCCCCGGTACGAAGCTGAAGTAGGCAAGAACAGCAGGATTTATTGGCACCAAAAAATTTCGCGACTGCTCTTCAGCTGCTTCCTGTCGCTTCATAAGAGGGACAACGAGTGAGAACAATACAACAGATTTGAATTCATGCAGAAAATCGATGCAGAAACAGCAAGGTTAGGGTTTTGGGCAATGTTGGCTAATCGATAAAGTTAATAACACAAACGCCGTAGGGGAAGAAAGTGAAAAAGAAGGAAACGTTAAAGAGCAAAAAAAATGAGAGGAGAGAGGGGGAATCATGAAGCCAGAGGCTACCATGGTAATTTTAGGTTAACCACGTGCTCCAATTGTTTACAAAGATCTGGTTTCACTCGTCGAATATAGGCTGCCTCCAGGTAACGCAATGTCCGAGTTGTTCGTGCCCGAACAAGTACTCGGAAGGAAGTTTTAGGGTCGACGGTGTGACCAGTATCAAGTAGGTGTTTCGTAATGGATGAACGTGGGATCTTATTTTCTTGTCTAAGGAGCCACTTGGGCAGGTGCTCAATGGATCTGGCTGCCAACTGCCCAAGTGGCTCCTTAGACAAGAAAATAAGATCCCACGTTCATCCATTACGAAACACCTACTTGATACTGGTCACACCGTCGACCCTAAAACTTCCTTCCGAGTACTTGTTCGGGCACGAACAACTCGGACATTGCGTTACCTGGAGGCAGCCTATATTCGACGAGTGAAACCAGATCTTTGTAAACAATTGGAGCACGTGGTTAACCTAAAATTACCATGGTAGCCTCTGGCTTCATGATTCCCCCTCTCTCCTCTCATTTTTTTTGCTCTTTAACGTTTCCTTCTTTTTCACTTTCTTCCCCTACGGCGTTTGTGTTATTAACTTTATCGATTAGCCAACATTGCCCAAAACCCTAACCTTGCTGTTTCTGCATCGATTTTCTGCATGAATTCAAATCTGTTGTATTGTTCTCACTCGTTATCCCTCTTATGAAGCGACAGGAAGCAGCTGAAGAGCAGTCGCGAAATTTTTTGGTGCCAATAAATCCTGCTGTTCTTGCCTACTTCAGCTTGGCCTTCCTTAGGTGTTACCGATTGGTGCAGCAATGCTTGCGGAAGATTTAAAATGCATAAATGTATCGCGAGGCCGAGGAAATGCCAGGATACGCAGACCGCAATGAAACGAAGAATTTCCTTGTATCATTCGAAACTGCCTGAGGTCCCAGGGTCAAAGAAACGACTCTACGGCTTACCTCAGACGGAACAATCCTTATGAGGAGATCAGACATTCTAAAGCGCTGGATTGGACACTTAAGAAGAGTACTCAACTGCCCATTCAGGATCCCTTATGACGCCATCGACCATACCCTCCAAGAGGAAACCGCTACCGACCTGGATTGTCCGTTTTAACCCCAGAAAAAACTATGGCCGCGCGGAAGCTCTTCAGGAAGGAAACACAAGGGTCGGACGCAAAAAACCGTATCCCTCGGTTGATGGACAAATTCACATCGTTGTTGCAGGAGACCAGTTCCCTGAGATATGAAAGACGCGACCACTGTCCACCTCTACATGCGGAAAGGGAATCGACGAATCTCTGGTAATCCCATAGAAACCTCGTAACTCAAAATAACCAGAAAGATCTTTGTTCACCATTGTTGCCTCTGAGGACACTGCAGGACCACTGACGTCAACTTCGCCGCCTGCTAAATGTAGAAGAAGCGCCACGAAATGCACACCAACCTCTACACTGCATTCGTAGACCCGACGAGGGCCTTCGAAATCGTGGACCAGGAAGGCATCTGGAAGATCCTGCTGGAACTCGGACATCCGGTGCGCTCCATACACGTGGCACACCAAATACACGACGACGACTGACGTGCGTTGTTGAAAACGGGTCAGTCTCGGAAGCAGTTGCAGTGAAAAATGGAGGGAAACAGGGTTGTGTACCCGTTCCATCCTTTTCAGCCTCACCCTCTCCGCTATGCTGATGGACGTATACTGTGTCCATCGCCTACCGTCTCGACGGACAACTTCCCTACCCACGACACATGTGAATACGGTCAGGAGTATCCCAGATCAGCATCCATGACCTACTGTTAGCAGGTGACTGCTCAACCAATGCATCGGAGGAGGCGGTCACTCAAAGGGACATAGTCCTTTTTGCATCCGGAAAAGCCGACGTCGGACTGACCCTCAAAGCGTAGAAGACGACGGCCATGCACCAACCGACGCCAGACACTGGCTACAGAGAACTTCACATAACCGGAAATTGAGTTTCGCTCTCTGTTGTGCACAAATATGCATACCTAGACGGCATAATCTCCAAGAATATCGGGTCCAAAAACTATGTTAACCGCCAAATCTCTGAAGCCGATCATGCATTTGGACGGCCAGAGACCTCAGTATGGAATAGTCGATGATTTAACCTGAACAGAAAACTCAGGATTTACAGACCGACAGTCCTGAAGACACTATCGTATGAGGTGGAGGCATAGACCATATACGCTAACCAGACCAGGAAGCTGAGCTGCTCTCCCTCCCCCTGTATCCGCAGAATTTTAAAGCTTGGGTGGCAGGACAGACTCATTACCACAGATGCCCTGGAATGGACCAAAATCCACTACACACATGCCATCTTGTGGCGGCTGAAAATGCACTGGAACGGCCATATCAGAGGCATAGGTGACGTTTGGCTACCCAAGCGACTGTTCTACGGCGACGTCGCCAAGAGTGTTCGCCGACAAGGAGAGCCAAAACGGCACAGGATAATGCTCCATGAAGTGTTCACCAAAATTCGAAAATCAGTCTAGACACCATGAGTGATCTGGTCCAGCATCGACCACTCTGGATAAAGGTAGTGAAGACTGGATCTGCAATGTACTGTCCCAGTCAGATCGTTGTTACCAAAGCAAAAGAGCGGCTCGAAAGTCATAAGCGTCGCGGATCCACAAAGCTAACGCCACCAATTGCAACGTGTCCATGCTGTCACTTGCCAATGATTAACCTCATCAGGTATCTCTGGACTAAGTGAAATAACGACATAAAAAATCAAATGGTTGTCTTTGCAAACGTCGTCACCGTTATCCACTCCTTAATTAACACGATCTTCACCGTCTGTGAGCAAAATTTCAACGCTCCACCGCCGCCCTCCCCACCACTACCACCTCCATCATCACTGACACACCCTCTGAAACGATTGCGACGACTATATAGCCCCTCCTACTTTCACCACCGATGGGAATCCTCTCGACGCCCCACCAACCACCACCGCCCTCACCAGCAACACGCATTCGGTCAGTCAGTCAGTCAGTGTATTTGAGGGAAATAGGCTTACGCCTTTGAACTCCCTATTTGTACATAAAAAATCGATAAACAAGCAAAAATGTGAAGAAATTACAGCACTAAGTGAATGCATACATTGATTCACATATGTCACTAGTCACATGGTTAAAAAGTCGCATAGTCCGCTTGTTGCTGCAGCATATATCTGTCAAGGCGACATTTAAATGTCTCCACAGATTGAGACATAACAACCGTCTCGGGCAGGTTATTCCACGGTTCCACGACACGGTTGGAGAAATATTTTCTCACATTCAGTCTACCCTGTGGCACACGTAGCTTGAAGGGATGTCCCCGGAGGTGAGTTGTGGTGGCGAGTTGGAAAAAGTCATCGCACCGAAGGGCACAATCCAAGCCGCGCACGATACGGAAAGTTTGTATCATGTCTCCGCGCAACTGCCTATAACTCAGAGGATAGAGATTAAGGTTAGTTAAGCGGATCTCGTATGGCAGTGCACTTTGACCTCTTACTAATTTTGTGGCTCGCCTCTGCACCCTTTCGAGCAGATCGTAATCCTGGTGCGTCCACGGTCTCCAGGCCTGAATTGCATATTCGAGATGGGGCCTTATAAACGTGCCGAAGACTTTGGTGAAGCAGTCTTCATCGAAAACTACGAATGCCCGCTTGATGGCATTTAGCATTGAGGTTGCGGCCTTGGCCGCCTTACAACATTGTGTAGAAGGCTTTAGGCTGTCTGCGGTCAAAGCCTCTCCTTGTTAGGAGCGCGCTTTCCCATCACGAGTAGGCCTGACCGGTCGGTTACGAGTCTGTCGCACTCAGGTCGACGAAACCGTGCCTCGAGCCCCGACATACACCCATCGCACGCGCCTCAGTTGCGCACACTGCCCACACAAATTCAGGCGCTACATTGGCGGAATACACCGCAAAGGCGACGTGTCAAACCAACCTCGCATATCCGACGACTCACCATAACCAGCATCGCCAACACCCCCTCGTCCAGGGTCACCGCCACAAACAGCACAACCCTTCTTGCCCACACCATCACAGCACAGGTATCGACAAACCCACCGCACATAAACCGGCGAGCCAGTGCCAGGAGCACTAACATACACCCACATCAACTGCCCACGCAGCTTGCTCACATTCATTTACGGCACGAGCCTACTCGAACATATGCGTTTTCACAAAAATCGGCCGTAAGACGTCACAGACCAAATTTCATCAACAAACGTTTGGCTTTCGAACTCACCAGGCCCCTTTTGCATATTTTCCAGGCGTACTTTGACCGATGTATTCTTCCCTTTGATTGGAATGTGGCGAGTATATATATATCCCATTCACAAGGGTGGATGTGGAACAAGTGCGAACAATTATCAGCTGGTGAAGCTAACGTACATTTACTGCAAATCTATGGAAGGAGTAGTCAAAATGCCATTATCAAGTTCCTTGGAGAAAAGAATTACTTTGGTAGTTCCCAACATGACTTTCGACGAAACCACTCTTGCTTAACAAATACGCTTTGTTCAATGAAACAGCCGTCCCGCTTGTTAGACAAAGGAACAAGAGTCGATATTGCTTACACCGAAAGCCATTGACAGTGATTCACATCGTCGGTTAATCTGCAAAGTCCGAGAGTCGTGGATAAATGGGTGCCTGTTAGAGAGGCGCCCACCTATCGTTCCTACGAAACTCACTCGTCCCTTTGTGCCTTACAAGATATCTCTCGAGCTAAACCAGCAGCCGCACAGCGGCGAATGATATAGGCAAAAAGGGGGACAATCTAAAATGGGTAGAGGGCTTCTTAATTGGCCGATTGCAGTCTGTGTGCATTGTCAGTGCATAATCAACGCCAGTGCTAGTTGGGAATTGAGTTCCCGGGGGCACTGTGCTCGAACCAGTACTGTTTTTAATCTACGTCAACGACCATTAGGATGATCGGGACTGCAACGGAGTCATTTTTGCCGATGACATCAAATTATGGCGAGTAATCAACGAGGAAAATGATGAACGGGACCTGCAAGAAGGACTGAACCGTCTACGAGACTAGTCCGACAAACAGATGCTAAAGTCTAACACTACGACTCAGACCGATTGAGAGAGCAAATGGTGGCGACCACCGATACCTCCTTGGCGGAGGGGTTTTTCATGTGCGGCCGAACAAAATGATCTCGGGATCAACATTTTATCGTTTTCTAAGCCCTCCGCTCAATGTGTTAGGGCTACCAAAAGACAGCTGTGTTCTGTTCGCCATTAAACAAACTTTCATAGATATAGACAAAGAGTTATTTTGAAAAGTATACGGAGCGTTTATTCGCTCGCAACTGGAATATGAAATCCAACAGTGGGTAACTAGCTAAAAAAGACTATGAGTTGCTGAAAAGAGTTCAGAAGAGGGCGGTCAAAATTGTGGAAGGCCTCGGGACTTTACCTTACAGCTGCAGACTTCATGAGTACAGGCAGGTCCGAGGAGATCTCATACAAACGCATCGGTTTTGGGGAACCGGGACTGTGCCCTGCGCCTCGATGGTTTATTTGCCTTGGCCACAACAAGAAACCTGCGTGGGGAATCTCTTATTCTTTGATCGTCCCGATGTCACCTGGACGTTCTCAGGCACTCTTTTTCACAGCGGATCGTCGGTCCCTAAGGCGGGCTTCCCGAGGACATGATAATGGCGGATTCCATGAGACATTTAAACACAGGCCAGATGTATATTTGCTTGAAAGAACGCTTAAAAGGACACAACAGCCCTGTTATATCAAAACAACGCCATGCATACAGTTACCGCTAATGCGGATGACTGTTGTATTATTTTACCATTATCACCTACGATTAAGTATTCCCGAGTTTCAGTCCCGCGTTCTTAAAAGCAGTATTCTGCGCAATACGTATGCTGCCGACAAAATTTTAGTAGCATGCTTGTTTGACGTTAGATATTGCATGTACCGTTTTCTGTAGGGCTTTCGAAGGCGTTGCCCGTTACCCTTAAAATATACTGACCTATATACACCATACACGAAGCCGTCCCATGCAATCCAATGCAGACACAGAATAGACACCATCCGCATAATTGGAAAGCGTGCGTTTGGCTCCTTCTGCTTGTAGTCTTCACGACACTAACGCATCCGAGATCCGAATCGCCCAACCATTTTTATGCAAACCTGGTGTGTCGTGTGGGGACTGCAAAGACGGGATGTTTCGACTTTGTCAGCCACTCCATGCAATCTCGGCATCAGATGGTGGACCGGCTCGGACAATTGAATGGTGCGCGGGAGAGGGAAGATTGAGTTTGATCAACTCTGACACTGAGCGCATTCCTCACTATAAACAATTTGATGCTTTTCGAAACTATCACGGCGAGCTAAAAGCTGGATTTCAAGGCTATCAACCGACGAATATCTCGTCATCCTCTCAGGACTGGAAACGGGATCACAAGCGCATACACTGCGCGGCCGGTCAATGGAAGATGCCTGACGGATGGGGCATAGAAAATGATAAATGAAAGTTTAATCAATGCACTAAAATCGGTCAGTCTGTTTTAACATCAGGCACATGCCGGTTTGTTTGATTTATCCAAAAAGAAAACCCCAAATGTTGGACCAAACACAGGCCGTAAAACGGCAAAGTAAACAGTAACAGAGATAGAACAACGAATATAGGAGACTGCGACATCAACCGTTTCAGATTTTATTGCGTCCTCATTCAGATAAAACTGCCCCAATAAATGCTCGTAACTATAAAAAAAAGCAAATGCGCCAACGACCAGGAATGGTTTCCCTTAACAAATTGCCTTTGAAGGGACTTCAGTCAGGAATATACCAACTTCAGTATATCATTCGATGGAACTAAAAACATAGGTTGCTTAAATGCAGAGATTCGTGATCGTGTTAAGTAGAGGGCATTGTTTGTTAGAAGCAAATCGGCATGTTAAGGCTTCTAATCTTGCCTTTTCCCTTTAACGAATGTATTTCATCCTTCTTTAGAGAACACTTAGGCTCTCCCAAATATTTCATGTTAATATTACGATGATCTATGAATATTTATTGATTTCGGTGGGGTGAACTTTGGCCGTTACACTCATCATTTCAAGTCTTGTTAAGCAGAAGAATAATTAGGCACCAGCGCGAGGGGTTTATGGTGGGCAGAATCTGAGTCACTATCTCAGGTAACCGCGACTATCGTTGAGGCTTTTGAGGACGCTGTCTGTAATCTACCTTGCTTATCTGCCCTTGATGACGCCGATTCTTACAGGATTGGGGTAAAGATGAGAGTTTTGTCTTCAACTGGTGTGATATATTACGCGAGACAGGGAATAAACGATCTGTCCGAAGGTGCATGCTTTATAGTCCGTCAGGAGTTGAAGTCTGATTGTCTTGAACTGTTCACAGAAAGGGTGAATAACCATAAACAGAAAAGCGGTAAACAAAGATACTGCACATTGCAATGGCGGCCATCAGCTACAAATGCTCAAACTTAACAAAAAATCTTTCTTTTGGGGTTAGGGGTACACTGAAAATTTAGGGCTGTAACATTTTCTTATGGCATTTTTTCCCAGCCACTTGTCTAACGGGAATTGGGGAATAATGGGTCTCATCTGTGGGTCAAGAGAACGATATAGGCTTCGAAAAAGGAGCGCGCAACAATCAAAAATTGCTTTCGTGCTGAATTCTGATTAAATTAAGCAAAACAGCCTCACAAAGTGCCTTCAGCAACAAAATAAATTACAGAAGGCAGCTTTAGCACATCTTGTAGTTATTGGTTGTTTTTCAGCAACTGCCTTGTTTGGGACTTTGAGGAGGATCAAGTTTAGATAATATCAAGTGGAAGGCATGAATGAGAAAAAAGGCACCGCGACAAGGTTACATAAGGATCAGACATCGTTCTTCACAGGGCTCTAACGAGGGCGCCTAATCCCATCATCAACCGGGTAAAGGACTAGGAGAGTCGACCTGTTCATATGAGGGGGAAGAGAAAATAAAGGCTAATACTGAGGAATGAGTTTCAATGCATCATCAGCGATTTCCCACTCTAGTAGGTCGGACGGGTTAGTAACTGTGACAGCGTGCACAGTCTTGGCTTAGAAGGCTGCCAAATGATAGAAAGATCCAGTCCTTTTCTAAACTGAAGGCCAGGCCTCAGTGATTCCTTCTCAATTTGCCCTTTATGGCACTCTCCCGAACGCGACATCCAAGCCATCTACACTAAAGTTTAAAGCATGTTGAGAGAGCCCGTTCGGTTGTTGCACGCATAGATTGGTTATTTAATTTTGTCTTACAGTGCACAGATGTTCGCCATCGGTTACCTTGACATTGTCTTGTCACCAGAACTAGGTGAGTAAGAGAAGAGATAGTTTGGAAGATCCTGCGCAGGTACCTCTCACTATAAACTAATCCATGTGTATTCACCACCCTGAGCCTTATGCACGTGGGATACGGTGGACGCTATTGACCAAGGCGGCCGAATTGTGTCCTGGTAGGTGGACAAATCTGAGAGGACGAAAGACTTCTGAGAGAGAGAGAGAGAGAGAGAGAGAGAGAGAGAGAGAGAGAGAGAGAGAGCGAGAGTATAATGAGCCAGGATCGCAGAAACGAGAGCTTCAATTGCATGGCGTTTCAGATACTCACTTGAATTTGTCATCAGAGACAACTGCAGCTAGTAGGAAGCACTCCGGAGGAGTACGATGCGACCGCAAACTGACGTTTCGCCGCCACTAACCCTCATCAGGATTCCGCTCCAGCCGCTGGTGTGCCGCGGCCTCATCCCCTTTGACGGTTACTAATCAGCGGCTTGAATGCGGGTGAATTAACTGTCGTCATACCATACGCGAACATCGCTAATAAATGCGGGAACTGGTAACTACGATAACCACATGATTACATGTCAGCGATGTTGGAGGAACCGGCGAAAATTTGTTTAAAATTTTTCTCCTAAAAGCATTTCTGAGGGTTTCTAAAACCAGTGTCCGCAATTTTTATCTCACGGATTACTGCCTGCTCAGTACTTCAACGGAAGAGGACAAACAGTGGAATGTCGATCCATTCTGTGTCGATTATTCTGACTCCGGGTTGGCCGTAAACACAGAGAAGATGGTGGTCCTGCACCGGCCGACACTCAACGCCGATTACAACTAACGCCATATAGAAGTCAAGGGAATCCAGTTTGTGCCATTGTGTGATTGTGAGGCAGGCTCAAGCACTCTCTCTTAGCATGGCCTCTACGTCCCTTTCATGTTTGTCATACCTTAAACGCCCACCCCGTTTGTATGAAATCCTGGCCTCTTGTGCTGGGTCTGGTTGTGTGTGGCACGCGCAGGCGGACTGTTTGGTTCAGCTAGTCATCTACGCTCAATCCTTGCATCCGATGGCCTACAGACTAGGACAGTGAACTGGACCCAGAAAGATTAAAGGTAGACTGAGGTAGACATTCTCCGCGTATATTCATTACTATAAACAACAAGACGTACTTTCAACCTATCTCGGAGCATTAAACGCTGGGAGTTAGAAGGCTATCAACTGATGGGACGACTTGGTCCTCCTCTCAGGGTGGAGAGACATGTGCAATGATTAATTTTAAATGTTACGTCAATGGAATTCCCCCTCATTTGGGATCCGAGCCTCCCTTTAATCTGTTCTTTACATGCAAAACCTGAGCCTCTGTTCGCGGACAGGTTGCTTGTGGCATTATAGTGGCTGAGGACGCCCAGAATAGCACACACAGAGGAAGCAAAGCATTGGGATCCTGGCTAAGATCGATCCGAATAGAGTAGTTTACATGTTGCCATTCTCACCCCTACGAAAAGGAAGAAGAAACGTTAGGCAGGCAAAAAGGTATAATGGGAAGAGATTGAAGCCGGGAGTACATATAATAGTAGTTAAATGTACAAATGGTGCAAGTTACAAGGGTGTAACTTGTCTGGATGTTGAGGCGACACTGACATGCCAGCTAAACAACCGGTAGAGAAAGCAGCGCTGCGGGCAACTGTAGGGGAGAGCCGAGGGAGATGCCGACTCAGAGAGAAAGAGAGAAAGATGTGAGAGTTACGGAAATTTGCTGGAAGGGGGTCGATGGTAAGGAGAAGGAAGGACACTGATCATTTTGACCGACGTACTCAAAGGCTTACGCCTATTTCCCTCAATAAACTGAACTGAACTGAACTGAACTGACGTGCAGTCACACCATCACTATCCTAAATCCGCGCGCCAAAAGTGTCTCTTCATTCAAACCACCGGATACAGACTATGGGACGTTACATCATGCGGGGATGGGCGGTTCAACTTTGTCAGTCATTACGACCGATCTCATAGCCGAATTTCTGAACTCCATCTTAACACCGGCCCCAGGTGGGTGAGGGAGGAGAGCCGGCTTTGGAGGCAGTGCAAGTCACTGTTACTGCATTCGGCCTGTTGAGAGGCACAGGGTAGAAATCGTCAATTGCGATTGTCGAACTGTCACATGAACTTCAGATTGACTTCCTATTATTGCACGATTTCCTCGAGGGCCTTTGTGCTGCTGCTTCATCAACCGTTCCGAAACCAAAACACTTATTAATTCCCAGGTATGTGCATTTTACTCTCTTTCGAAGTATTTCTGGGTTTAATTTCTTAGGGCACTTGTAAATATATCTGGGTTCCGAAATATCTAAAGCTCCTTCCAACTAGAGCAATGCATTCTAATGCGCCTAGCGCAATGTGGGAATTCGGAATTTGGATTTCACTCCGTCGGGCTCCATCTCTCGCTGTCCATCAGGTTCGTGACAGTTAGGCGAACATGTATTTAGACCTTATTTTCTAGGACTTACTGTCACATTTCTAGCGAAATAAAGCAAGGACGATATTGCTGTCGGTGTACTTTAGCTGTAGTTAGTTTTTTTCTTCCTGGAGCACGAATCCGCGCTAAGAAAAGTGAGAGAAACTAGGGTTTATCGACAGAGACTTTCGGGCAGTCACTTGTATGGGCTTCGTTCTCCACCACTATGCTGATATTGATGTTTGCCATTTTGCTGACTTGTATCCACGCTAAGGCCGCGCTTAGTACCGGAGCGATTGATGTCACGACTGAGTGCAAGACCTCGGTGACCTCGACCTGAGGGACGAACGTGTTCCCCTGAAGTTGTGATATGTCCCGTCAACAGGCAATATTTCCGTACTCCCTATTATCTTTCCTTACCGGTCTCTTCGGCTCTGTAAGATTCGTAGGTTATGCACCAAACTTGGTATCCGACGCTTGGGCCGCAATCTACCTCGAAATTTCCTTAAGTCAGTGGAATAGGCCATTGCCCTTTGGTTGCCGGCGACGAGCGACTGCGTCTGAATTCGACAGTCGCACTGGTTTCTGCCAAACGCAAACCTGCTGAAGGTACTGCAGTCTGATTCCTCTGTCATCTCTCAGTGCCAAACTCTGCTTGGTCGAAGTTGATTCCGAACTAAAATCCAGTAACGCTAATACTCAGCTTTCCTGGGAACCGCATAACCAAGTTAATTGTGGTAGCAGAGCCCGCGGCGATAAAGTCCGGATGTTAAAACCGCCTAATAGCCAAATTGGACGCAAACGCGTCATACAATGATCTGGAGAGAAGCGACGGCTCTATGTGCTTGTACCCGTCGGCTCGATGACAAGTCTTGCTACTTGCTATATATCATCCATCATGGAGGGGCAGGTTTGCGGACTCTCTTGTTAGCTGCCCTCTGAAGTGATTTCTTGATACCTGCCGTCGCTATATCTAGGTTTCGATAGCCAAATGGGTTCCGTTTAAATACAGTTTATTACTCGTAGCTAATAGCCACGATTACCATAGCGAACTTTCCTTTGCCTCATAACCTCAATCATAAACTAAAATCTGCATTAGATTGCGGTCCCAAACCATGTCGAATGTCCCTGTTATGATATCCAGTAAATCAAAGTTGCTTCGACCACCGTTCACTTGTTGCCCTTGTTTCACCTTCGATAACCCATTGGACCATTGACTTTTTGTTCGCAAGCCTAAATTATGATCTCTTTGTCCACTCATCCGTTAGGTGGTTTAAAATGGCCGAGTCCCTTGTTTTACCTGCCCCGCACGACCAAAGTCTCAGCCCTTCACTACAGCAGCCCGTCTTGCGCTTCTGCAAACTTAGTGAGAATGCTACCGCACCGACACGCGGCTCCGAACTGGCCGCCGGTTACGACTTATACAGTGCCCATGACTGCTTTGTCCCACCAAAAGGACGAGCTCTCGTAAAGACGGACATTCAGGCAAGTGTGCCGTTCATCGTATAGCTGCGTGTAATGCTTCCTGTTGGTTCAGTTTTAATTTCAATTAATCTCCATCTTAACTATTAGATTTCACTTCCGGATGGATGTTATGGCCGTATTGCTCCTCGCAGTGGCTTGGCTCTCAAGCATGGTATTGATGTGGGTGCGGGGGTCGTTGACCAAGACTACCGCGGGAACATTGGAGTCATCCTCTTCAATTTTGGTGACGAGGAATTCCAGGTAGGCAATGGTGCTTAGGCATAGCCCTATCAGTAAGAACATGTAAATTTTAGTTTTTTTGTGGATATTTTCTATTACCGCCTATAATTCCATCGTGTTCAGCCTCTAAGATGACTCCTCTGTCGTTTCAACAGGTCAAGAAAGGGGATCGTATAGCTCAACTGGTCTGCGAGAAAATCTTCCTCCCGAGGTTGGTAGAACAAAACCAACTGGACGAGACTGTTCGCGGAGCCAACGGCTACGGTTCGACAGGCCTGTAGTTGTGCATTTTGCCATTCCACACTTTGCATTTACCGATTCCATCGGTGGCGTACGCAGATTATATCGTCATTTTTACTTCGTTTTAAATTACACAGTCAGCTTACTCGTTCGTTCTTATATAACCGGAACTAATAAGCAGGCTGTTTAGAATATGGGGTTCGTTTTTATGCTGACGTACTTGTATAATCCCCCATCCCCAATTTTACTCCTGCGCATAGTAGAATTCCTCGAAAAAACTCTATAATCCACGAGGTCGTCTTTTGGAACAAGCCCACCTTACTGCTGTCCATGTGCCGCGTTCACTTTGTAATTTTAAAATTGGTGAAAGTGCATACTTACCTCTGTAATTTGCTCTTCGGAGTCTACCTCCGCGCCATGTGATAGGGAGTATTGCATGATTACTAGGTTGCTGATGATGATCAGGTGCCTGTATTAAGTGCTGTTTGTTACCCACGATTCCGCTTGTATCCGCTAGATATCGGCGTAACTGCCTGGGAACTGCAGTATCGGAGGAATTTACAATAAAGGCAGCCGAATATAAATTCCGGCGGGGGTTCTGCATCCTGATTTGCTGTCGTACGGCAAGTAACCGTGAGATGGATGCAACTAGTTAGTTTATTGTAAGAAATATGGTCGGGTTGCTTACAGTTCGGCCCGGCCGAGCAGTCGCATGTCTTCTCAACCTCGAAGAACGAATCACCATGTTCCCCTGGGAGTGGGTTCTCGTCTTTCTGCTTGCGCATGTTATGCGTTCCAGTAGGGTTTCAGGACTTGATGGCACTCTGCTGATGGCCGTTCTGGCTTCATAGGATTGTCGGAAAAGCTTAGGCAAATGACAAGGACTTGGCCATACATGTGCCTGAGGAAATATGCCGATATGCGAGCTGATTCGACGGGAGCTGCACATGTTTTACTCCTTTCCGCAGGAGCCAGACTGGTCACGGTAGACTATGAACCATCGATATCAGAACATGCGGCACTACAGTAGCCGGTGTTCAGATAATCAGCAGAGATCCACGTTTCACTGCTGCGACGTGCGGCGTATCAGTATTTTGTACGGGTCTCAGGGAACCCGTACGCTTCCATCAATTTGACACCACTCTCAATTGAGTAGCCGAACACGGCAATCTGACTGTCGTTTCCGACGATGTCCACCGTATGCTCCACAGCAAGATGAGAACAGAGACGGTAACTTGTACGTGAATTAGTTTATAGTGCTAGTAGCTTTGCACATCATCTACTGCACTCTCTTCCCCACCTGGACCTGGTGTCAAGACAGTCAAGGAGACTAGAGACTGCGGAGGACGCAGGTGAATGGCACGGGTCGAACCCGCACCTCGGCGCTCCACTCCACACCCGCTGGTCCACACAGCGAATGACCAGGATTTTAACCAAAAATGGAGGGGGGGGGGACGGCAGGGGTCCCAATGTGCACGATGTCAGCTGGCAACGGGGTTTGCCATCACGCCCCCGAAATATTGGCATTTATTATGGTGCACATTCCGGTAGCGACTGCCGGGATCCGGATGGTTGCCGTGTTGGTCCAGCGCATTTACCATGTGGTCCGTCTGGGGGCACCAGTCTAACCCACCTGCTGCTGGACTACACCGGTCAACTGGAACTGGGGTGCTCTCCAGCTTCTGTGGGCGGAGAACCACCCCAAGGCGACCCCGGGAGGGATTCTTACTTCGGCGGATACTTGTTCCTCCCCTTCGGCCGTTTTCTCCAACACGCCCTCCGATTGAGGGATCGTGGTGGCCAAGTTTGACTTGCGTTTTACGCAGTTTATCCTCCTTTTCAACCCAGTTAACCGCGAATGTGTTTGCCCTAATGTGCGACTCCGCGTCTATTAGATTCAGCAGTTACTTTCGGTTGAGCTGATGTATTTCCCAAGTTACAGGTTATCACCACTAAGAGACACTCTCCTGCCTAAGTCACTGTGAATCCCTGTAAGGCGCGTGACGTCTCAGTGAATGAAGATGCAGGCTCTCTGACCGTGCATATCCGAAGTATGTTCGGAGTCCCGCACGCCGTTCCGGATAACTGGTTCTACGAACGGGATTATCTTGGGTGACTTTGTTAGCATCTGGTCCATTCTAGATGCCCCAGTCAGGTAAAGTACTCCTCAAACCAGGTTCGAGATGCTAGCTACCAAGGCAGTGTATGCCTTTACTTTAGTAAAGAGACTGATGCATTTTCAGACGGAGTTTCAGAACTTGCTGTGAAGTTGGACTGCCGATGAGCTTTTGTTTCATTCCTTTTGAGCGCAACACTCTAGGACTGGTTGTATCCATTCCTCGGGGAGGGGACATAGACTGCCGAAATGGGGTCCAGTAGCTCTTGATAGAGATATCCAGGAATTGGTAGTAGAAGGGCGCTCAGTAATCGTTCTTACGGGACTCTATCGTCCCGTTGTCTTAGGGCCCTCTCTCTGGAGTTCAACTAGCAGCCGCACATCAGCGCATGATATAGGCGGAGTAGCATTACCGAAAAAAACAAGGGGGACTAGAATGGCTGTTTGTAGCAACTTAAGGGTTGGGTATGACTGGCTGACGACGGCTGATGAGCCAGAAATGGCCATTTCAGTCGCCCTCGTCTTTGTCGGTAATGCCATTCTACTAGAAATTGGTAGCGATTTCGCCACCACTACGTGCTCTTTACGGACTGTGTTAGACTAAATGAGTACGTCGTGATTATGATGGAAAGTGAATATTATAATGCACAATATCTCTCCTCATTTGAATGTTGTTCTCGGTGGTAAGAAGGAATTGGTCGTTTTAACCAAATCGAAATATACGGAATATCTATTGAGCTCAGCTGGTCAGTGAAGTTGTGGCGGTCCTGGATGTAAGACCGACTGTAACCGCGCAATAATTCCGTTCGTCGAATGTCAGAAGTAAGGTAACTGTGGGAACAGGTTTATTCTGTACACAGGACAGGTTGCTGTGGATTGGCTGTTTGCCTGCGCCAGAACAAAACGTACGTCCAGGAGAGCGTCACTCGTAGTGTGTTGTTTACGCGGGAGTGCATGTCCGCACTAGTATAAAGTGCATGTCTAGCTGAGTGATGGTCATTGCATCAATTTTTTTGGGGAGGCGTGATGGTGCATGATGACGGATAGTACGGCCGCTGCAAAGTGCTGCCTCCCAGATAACCATTCCGAAATATTCCTTAAGATAGCAAAGGACCATCGATGGTCGCGCCTATTTCTCTCAATCGATATCGAAGGGATGATCTCTCAACTTTTCCAATCCGATGATATTCATCTTGCAATGGAATCGCAAATGTTGTTCATCACTGTAGAAAGCGTTAGCGAACAATGTCCTGTTTTGTGCTCGCAATGGCAGACCCTACTCTATCTTCACAGTACGTAAACCTTGAGGGTTATATCTTCTTAGCAAAAAAGTGTCCTGCGAACACGGCGTATATTGGCTGGCCCGTACAAGTCGTTCTTCGTCGTACAACTTGAAATATGTGACATCGGCTTTTTCACAGCTCAGCCCTGGTCATCTTTCCATATCGTAAAATCCGATTGGCTCGGACTGCATCTATCTTTAATTAACATGTATCGCCGCTTCAGCGCACAGCACTGCTCAACCTTTTGACGGAGCTTAACTTGCTGATTTTTCGGGATCTAGTGCGGTCACATGGTCGAGCAAAACCTAGCTTTTGAAACCAAAATAAATAATTGCTTTCTACTTACCGATAGTAAGTAGACTGGATTTTAAAGTAGATATGCCATCCACTGGGAAAGGCTTACAGTGTGTCTGTTCGGGACCGTACTCTTTGCCTATAGTAGAACGTTAAGTCATTTGCTGACCCGAGTGAACCACATCATACGCGTTAGTCTTCCATCAAAAGCCGAAATATAGCAAATAAGCGGGGTTCTTCATAGAGGAAAACTGAAAATTCACTAGAACTAGTAATAAGCTGTCTCGTCGTATTGTACCATACACCGGAATATGTGGGTACACGAAAGTGGCTTGATTTTGAGTAGCATCTTAAAATCCGACTATTATTACTTAAATTATGTCCAAAGGTTAAAATAATATCAGTCAGCATGCCAATAGAAGTGGACAGGCGAGTTCTATTAAGCAGTCGCGAAGGGGGAGGCGAGATCGCTGGAACTTGACGTCTCGGGTTCCTGCTCGAACTCACTATCATAGACAACATTAAATACGGATAGCTCATGCGCAACGGGCTGCAATAACTATATGATTCGGTCGCTATGCTACCGCATATGTATGAACATTCACGGCTTCCCCCTTCATCAAGGATTTTTGGGCTTGGAGTGATGATTGCTCGATAGCCGACATCCGAGTCATTAATCGGTACAATTTTCTCACGTGTGTTGGACGGTAGTGGGATGATTCCTCGACTATCTGGCCCACCGTCCCTGGCGTCGGGAATAATGTTCGCCTGTGCGTTCCCCGCGTGGCTATCTACTCTACCTAAGCCAAGTCTCAGCACCGGATATGAAAGGTGGGATCATTGCACTTGTTAATACACCGGGAGTAACTCGCGTCTCACACGGTTGTCACCTCTGGAGAGAATTTCGGCCTCGTCAGATTTGAACGTGTGGCTGGATCTCGCCGAATGAACCACCAGTTCTCAACTGGCGTCATTTCTCCGCACTGCTGTCGCCTGTCCGCCATTTGCATCGAAACAGTCTTCCGGTCTCTCCGATGTAGTTGCTTTGTCCGCAAACGAACTATATCCATCCAACATACTTGATGAAATTCCGGCGCTTAAAGGCTCAAATGCCGGTTATCGAACAAGTATCAAACCAAGTACAAAACCCCCTAACTAATGGGGGAGCTGGGACGTTTCATAGGTGTGCGACAACATAGCGACTGAATCTCGCAAGTACTTCAGCTCGCTGTGCATGAACCAATCGTATCTGACGTTGTATCGGACGATGGGCAGGTACCTAAAACGTCAGGCGAATAAAGCCCTTGTTCCTTCGTTTAATCTGTTGAACATGACCAGTTTAGACTGT